TTTATTATTGTTATTAATACATATTATTGATATTATTATTGTATATTATTATATATGATAATTAATAAATATTTAAGAATATGTCGAATGACGAGCGTCAAGCTTGGAAGTATCGCGCCAAGCAGTTCAATGAATCGGCAGCCGGGCGGGCACAACTACAGCAGAGACGTCAAAGGAGACGAGACCGCGGAAATCACTCTCCGGTATTTATTTATTGCTGTTGTTCTTTATTATTATTATTGTTATTTTTAATATTAATGTTATTATTATTAGTATTATCATTATCTTATGAGTATTGCAGACCCCATCTTTCGTAAGGGAGCCGATGACAAATGCACGAGATAGGCTTAATGAATCACCAGTTTTGCACGCGTCCCGTCGAACCGATGAAGAGGACGAATATTCCACAGTGGTACGAATTTACAGTTGTTATTTTTATTATGCTCATTTTTATTTTTGTGTTTATTATTATTATTACTATTATTTTAAATTGTAGTATTTCGAGCCGGGATGTGATGAGTTTATATGGAAACGTATGTGCGACGTGAGAAATATGTTGGCGCAGTTTACAGAGCGATTCGATATGAATCAACAACAGTACAACGGTTTGTATTAACGTGAATAATGATAAATGATACGAAATAGCAGTGATGAAATGATCAATATAATAAGTGATAAGAAGGAGGGAAAAATTTTTTTTAAATGTTGTGATAATAAATGATAAGAAGAAGATAAGAAATAATAGTGATAAAATAATCAATTTTAAGAAGGATAGGTTTGCAGATGGAAGGGAGTTCACAAACAAAGAGGATTACTTTTTGAGACGACGTTTATGCGTGGCATCGGTGAATGTGCACTATTGTGATGCGAATCACAACGTTTATCCATCAGAAATATCACTGATCAAATTCAATATTGCTGATGGTCTCTTAGATGAACGCAATTTCATATTATCTCTTCCAAGATATCTTGTCATACCGCGCGAATATGAAAGTGCAATCGTCAATAATGGTTAGTAGGGGGTGGGGGTTGAACTTTAATCTTAATTTTGAGGGGNTATGAAATTTAATTTGAACACCTCATCTCGGTTTAGTCCGTTCATTGTGTTTTGTGAATTTTGCATTTAGCAGTTTGATTTCACCTCGTCATTTTGAGGTCATTTTGTAATGTAACGCTTTCAGAAGAGCGGACGATGTTGCGTGCTGACCAGCGTGACCATGCACTGTGCCACTTTATGAGATCGGATTTCGACGAGATTTGGCACGAAATAAAAGAATTTACGAACTTCGATGGAGTGCACGAGAGGATTGCAGTGCGTTCGGGTGAATGGAATAGTGTGGTTGGAGCATTTCATACACTCTGCAGACTCGTCGGAGAGCATGCATCTTGTTGGTGTTTTGCAATTTTTGAGTTATTTTAATGAGTGACTGACCGGGAATGACGTCATTTGTTTCAGCTTATGACGTCGAATGACATCATTTGTCATTTTGTGACTTTTCTGGCAAAACGTTTCATTGAATGCAAGCGGGTGTTTTAGCGCGAATCGGGACCCGTTTTGTGGTGATTGAGGACTACTTGCAAGCGATGACCACATCGATTCTGCAAGACCGACAACACTCTCTTCAGCACCCTCAGCCACAAGCTCGCAGCCATATATCCGCACAATTGCAGCCAAATATCACCGCTCAAGCAACTGCAGCCTCATCATCTGCAGCCTCCCGGCGCGACGTAACCACAGTCGCACGCAACGACCAACACGCATCGCGCGGAACGTGTCAATCCGACGTGGTGACGTGTTCGTTCCATCATCAGTTGTTATTGACGAATCAGTGCCGTGCGCGTGCGTGTGCTATGTTCACAGCACGCCAAACAGCGTGAGTGTTTTTGTTTTGTAGTTTGTATGTTGGCGTTCGGTTTTTGATGTGTCCTTTATCCCAATGATATCATCATTTCAGCTTTAATTTCCTCACTCTTTCGAAACAGTACGCATTCCGTAACTTCACAATCACGGGAACGCATTTCCCAGATGGCGACAATTCGCCAGAAGCAGTCGGGTAATTTTTCGTTCATTTTTGTTACTGTTGTTATCAATGTTATTATTATTTCACTGAAACTGATATCATTATTTTTTGTTTCTGTTAATTATTATTTTCTTTCTTACGATTTTTCTTCAATGGCATCAATTCAGAAAATTTTCAGTGAGGTTGCAGATTGGGGTGCTGTAAACAGTGGAGCCGAATGCGGAATCCGTGGCGAAATGACCCCACACTTGGCATGTCGCCAAGAAAACGTTAGAGACGGGCCAAGGGTTCCAGGAACATTTGAAGAACCGAAGAGACAAAGACAAAAAGAACAGCGGGAAGAATTATGGAGGCGTAACGCCAATCAGAGAAATCAGGCAGTGCAAGACTGCCGTGGAGACTACAACAATTTTGTCTTTGGACAACGGCGATCAACTTCGACGGGATACAGCGATGTGAGCGTCGGACTAGAGAGGACGACACTAGGCGAGGGAACTAGAGAAACACATTTTGGGGGAGAAGTACCCGAGATTGGGTATTCGAGGTGAGTAATTATTGATTGAACGAGAGAGGGTGAGAATAAAGAGATGAGGAACATGGCGCTTGAGTGGGGGGTGGTGAAATAATGAGAGTTTTGGGGTACATAACGTGTGAGTAAGAGAGGTTAGAAGAATAAGAATGGGTTAAGGAGCGCGGCAGTTATGGAGAGTTATGGAGATGTACAGAGTAATATAAAGTATATCAGAACATTTCACGTTTTTTTTTCAGGAATGCATCCCGTTCACCGGATACTTACATTCCGGAGGAAAATGTTGTGACCTATGTGGGTAAGGAGTCGTTCTCATTATTACTTTTACAATAATAATAGTAATAATTATTGTTATTATTATTATTATTATTCAAATGTTATTAATTATTATTGTGAGCATGACTAATACAGCTATTATTGCTTGTTTGCTTATTTGCTTATTTAGATGCAGGTACGTGGTGGAGAGGCAGGCGCGTGTTGCGTAACGCGTGGAACTGGAATGAGCAAAGAAGGGGTGAACCTATAATAACATCTACGATATCACGCGACAAGAGAAAGAAGAGACAAGAGAAAGCGTCAAATAATGGTAGGTGGAGTTGAAATTTAAGCCAAAATTTGATCACTGGGAGTCTAAGCTACGGATGTTTGGAATTGAGCGTGAGGCTAAGGCAACGTATAAGTTACACTGAAAGCTGAGGTTTTAGTTGTGAATGACCAATAACTTGAAATAATTTCAGGTTTTGGACTCTATTAAAATGAAGACATCTTTGTCGCTGCCAAAATATAAAGAGTATGCGAAATTATTGAGATTTATCATTAACAGTTTTCATATCACCGCAGTGTAGACAACATCCATTTTGAAAACTTTGAAGATTCATTCAATTATCAATCACGTGATTATTTATTTATTAATTCACTCAGCTGTTATCACTATTATCATCATTATTACTATTATCATTGCTACCGCGATCAGTCTTTCATGTGATGTTATTATAGTTGTAATTTTGTTTCTGATTCCATTATTTTAATATTAATGGTATTTTTGTTATAAAAGTAGTAATGTTATTTGTTTGTGTAATTGTGCTGTTGTAATAGTAATGTCATTTGTTATTTATTATGATGGTAATGTTATTATTTGATTGTGTTATCGCAATAGTAGTAATTGTATTATTACAATAGTAATACCAACGATTGTTGTAATTATTACTCGTCATTATGATCGTTGTTATTACTCATATTAATATTATTAGTATAATCATCATTTATAAAGTACTTTTCAGTCTGTGGTGATATGCAAAGCTTAAAATTTACCAGGAATACGGGTAAATTGGAGGATCTTAATAATGATTTTTCTGAACTGCAGAAATCGCATGGCCAAGTTTTGTACTTGAGCCTTTATTCTCTCTCGTAGAAAAACCTGTACTATTTGGAAGGGAGAATCTTAATAATAATGGTTTTGGGAAATGTTGGGAAAAACCTGTTTTTGCGCTTAAAAACCTGTGTTTTCCCTTAAAAATCATGGCTATTTCAAATCTATTCCCATACCTCTTCTACCAATTTACGTCATCCACTTACACCGCGAAATTTCTACATGTATCGGTCTATTTCATCATTTCTATCTATGTTATCCTTCCATTTTATTGCGCCATATTGCTGGTTACGAGATGTTTTTGTATTGGTGTCCGTTTCTCTTTGTATTTCGCCATTATCGGTGCGAACTGTTAATGGGTAATGTGTACCGTTATAAAAGAAACATTCATTGATACTGTTGTTCGTAATTTTATAAATATAATTATGAACGGTACTGACCGAAATACATACAGGTGATCGATAACTCAATCATTTTTTTCATCGATACCTGTTTCGTTTCCTCGCAGGTTTTCTATTATTCCTCCCGCAAATCCATCTTTTCACTCGTTACTGCCTGAAAGATTCAATTGGTAGATTCGGTCATGAATAGGTTATGCTCAGATTTGTAACGACTTATGCCGGAAACTGTTACATACTCAGGACTCATGGCAAGACTTAGTTTGAGGCTTATTCTGGTATTGGGTTAATTCTCACCAAAAACTGAGACCCACAACGTTGCTTAGATTGAGGCTTCTTTCGCGACGCATTTCGAGGCTCAGTCTGATGTTCAGGCTGTGGTTTACTTTTGGATCAAGCTCAGTCTTACCCATTCATCATGGGATTCAGGCTTACGTTTACCCTGACTCAACGCGAAGTTAAGATGCTGTGGCTGAGGCTCATTTCCGACTCACTCAGTTCCGAGCATTATACAAACTGTTCTATTCATCCATTGTATTAATATGTGATTGTTTCAAAATTTACTTTGTCATTTCTGGGATGGACATCACCAAAACTGTGAAGGTAACCAAAGTTTAGGAAATCGGAGAGAAAACCAAAGTTTCCTCTCCGATTTCCATGAGCATGAACCTAAAAAAGATGGACAAATTGATTGTATGGATTGTACATGATAATTGATCAGTTGCTAACGATAACTCATTAGCATCATCTAGAAGTATTTAACAGACTGATTAGTATGGTGAAAAAGTGTCACCACAAAAGGAGAGTTACAAAGAAGAAATGAACCAAATATTGATATCAAAATGTTCAGTTCAATCGATCAAAAATGAATTTTTTTCCAAGGTTTTGTCAATAAAACGTGGCAAATCAAACTTTGTTTTGTAGCATGAAAATTGGATATTCAATCATTTGATTAGAGCTTTACGATGCCTCTATCAAAAACCAATTACATCGCTGATAACAATGTTCTATCGAACGAACATCATCAACTATCGAATGCCCCTTCAGTCTTCAAATTAAAAAATATTTATTCAATTGTGGTTATACATGTTGAAGAATTTTGATTCTGAGGTATATTTCTCTAGAACTGACGAGCAATATTCATTTTATCTTTAAATAGAAAATAAACCCAATGGATAATTTAATCAGTATTATTGCATTGTAGCCTTGTTTTGGACGGGTAATGAATGCGTTAATGAAACCGTGGCATTGCGGAGGGTAATTCTGACCAGATTCGCTTATTCGACTGACTCGTTAATTCATAGGTTCGTGTGATTCTTATGGTAGTCCTTATGGTTATGGTTTACCATATAGTTTTTTAGAATAAATTTAGAACACTTAAGTTTTCATTGGTGTATGACAGTGATTCGAAAGGCTAAAGACCACTAAAAGTTCAGGCGTTGATAAACGATCAAGACGGCGCCATGGGAACGTACTCAAGAAGAAGAAAAAAGATGAAAAATTATTTCAAACTAAATCACTAAGATGACAATTAAATATATATAGATTTTATTGACAAGATTGTGACAACGCAATTTGAACATTTGATCACACGATTAAATTTTTATGATGCATCCATCAAAAACGAATACCAACAATGATAAAATCACCGTATCAAACCAATTTTATTGATAATCGAACGCCAATTCAACCATATGATAATATCTTTCAATTCATTTGCAGCCGAATTTACTCTTTCAGGTCGCGAATTACGTATAATAGAATTGCATTCTGTTGTAACCTCTTGGAGCGGAATTTATTTCAGAATGAAATCATTAGCTTTGCATGCATATGAAATCAGATAAATCAAATCAGTTATTCTCTTGCAGCGATCAAAAGCTTAAAATACACCTTTGTGATGGCATTAAGATGGATGCATTTGTCCAGCTTACGAGAATGTGGCGATTATTGAATCACCAAAATTTTTATACTGTACTTTCACGTATACTATTCAATATACAGATAGATTGCCATGCGATTCTTGGACAGATGGCTCGTCGCAAATCGCTCGTTCGATCAAGTGCACGACGTGATAGAGAGCGTCAGCATACAGTAACCAGAATAATTACCATATGAATGAATCACAATCAGACGAATCAGTAAATTAATGATTTTTCGGATAAACGAATTAGAATCACCTTCCGCAGTGTCATGGTTCCAGTAATGCATTTATTACCCACACAAAAAGAGGCTACATTGCAGTATACTGAAATTACATCACTGATAAATTTATCCATTTCGTTTATGTTGCATTTGAATGTTCAATGATTATAGCTCACCTCATTACACTGCAGATTCCATCAATGGTTTTCAATATTCCGTTCGAAAGTGAGCTGGATAGGCAGGTTACTATTCAACTTAGCGCTATTTTAGGCTAACACTTTTCTTCCCAATACTTGTATGTCAGTTAACATCATTTTGGATTTCATCACAGAATTATGCTCTCAAAGATCACAAAAAAATGCATCTGAATGTTCGAAACCGAACAAAGTACATTCGGCTGCAAATTTTATGGAAGATGTTATCAAATGATTGAAACGACCTCAATAATCGAGAACATTGGTTTGATATGGCGATTTCGTCATTGTTGGGATTGGTTTTTGATAGACGCATCATAAAAATCTAATCGTGTGATCATTTTTAACATTGCATCCATCGTTTAAATTTTTATGACGCAGCCATCAAAAACCAATGTCAACAATGTTAATATCACCTTATCAAACCAATTTTATCAACAATGGAATGCTGCTTCATCATTAAATTACTAAACATTTATTCGATAGTAGTTACATATAATTAACAGTAGCGTATCGAAGGAATGAAGATTGATGAGATGCATAAAAATACAAAAAAATGAAGAAAATGCAACACAAAGACAGTTGCAGCCAAAATTACTCATATGAATCTTAATGAGCACTTTGGTTGAATCGCAGTACGCTGCGATTACGGATGAATTCCAGAATCAAATCGGATTATGTGCGATCATGAAAAACAACAATTATTAGAAGCACTGAAAAGATTGCAAGACCTGAACAACGGTCATCACGCATCTACGGTCATTTTGGCATGTATGGGCGCCAAAATGACCCCGCTAAAATAAGTTGTACTCGGCTAGCGACCTGGAATAGCCACAAAAATATCACTCAGAAGGTTCCACTCCCCCCCCCCCNCCCCCCCCCGCACCATCTCATTCGGAAGCACTGGCACAGAAAAAGGGAGAGTATTCGGAGGAAAGAGAGAGGTAATAATTACGAGGGGTACGCTATCGAAAAATGATAGCGCGTTATTCGCTGATCTGCTATCCTAAAAACTGTAAACGTTATTCGCTATCGCTATCATCGCCAAAAATTAGCGAAGCGCTATCGCTGATCCGCTGTTCAAGCAAAATTATTTCTCTGTTCTATCGCCACTGCTACTTGGAAGTTCTGAAGTTTTGGAGAAAATAACTGCGGCGAAACTGACAAACCATTTTACAATGAATGAGCTGTTTTCCTGTTTCCAATGTGCTCTTCGAGATCGGAGATCATTCACTGCGGTTCTGTTTTGATTCGAGCAAAATTTTATCTCTGACTTACAATTAGACTACAGAGCCTATACGACACTACATATTTCGACTCTAAACAAGCATTGGATTCGGTATCCATACCTAAATTAAACTTAAAATTACAAGCATACGACATACGAGGTTATCTGGCCGGTTGAATCTGAAACCTTTTTTACGAATCGTTTTCAACTAGGTCAAATTACTGATTCTTCCAGTTCGTCAGGATACATCAGTGGTGCTCTTCAAGGTTCTCTTCACTTTCTTGTTCTTACTAAAGGGTGTCCCTTTACAAATTCAATATGCTTCATGTCTGCAGATGATGATAAGGTCTTCACGTTCTCCAATACAAAATATCTTTAATTTCGCAGACCAACTGCCATCAAATTGGTTTTCGCTGCTAGTTCCAAAACAAACGAAACTGATTAGAACCAGCTCCCTCCTCACTAATCCAAGACTAAGGCGTCATAAAACGACTGATGTTTGAAATGTCATGATCATGTTTCCGGTACAGTTGAAAAAGCTAACACCAGGGCATATTGAGAACGTTCAGCTTAGTTATCTTACCCTACTAAGCAAAGTATCTAACCTAAATTCGCTCACCCTAGAATATATCTCTTCCTCTTGGTTTTTCCATAATCAATACGGTAACAAAGACTACTTTAATGTCGTTAAAAGTGTTCGATGAAGATATACACGTTTCGTCTTGAAAAGGTAAGGTAGGAACGTATCCGAATACCAGGAAAGATATTCAATTTTAGGATCAGAAAAATTAGAACTGCAAAGATTTTCTATTGATCTTTGAAAAGATGACTAATTTACGATATTTCGTTTAAATATTCGTTCAGAAAAAAAGATAAGCGGCTGGAACACCCGAAGATAATAGTAAGAAGATTTAGTCAACAAAATACAACATAACAAACATAACAACATAACAAACAATTGAGATGAGTGAGTCAAATCAAACAATGCTGTTTTATCAAAAGAAGAGATTTATTTGGATTGGCTGTTGAACTTGAGAAATTTTCGACGATGGGGGATGTTCATTATGGTTATATCGTAATCACTGTTGAGTTCTCGATCGGATTCAGAATAATCGTTTTTGAACAGTTGTTGCAATCGCCGTTGCTGCCGTTTGCTTAATAATCAACTGGATAATTGTTCAGAATAACCCGGAAATAGATCAACGCGAATACGATCAGACACACCACTGAGAGCGCAAAATAGGTGGTTGTCAAAATTTCCACGATCAGTCCCTCTGAAAAAAACATATCTATAGCTACTTTATCACAAGTATTATGCATGTCTTCGATGTTGATATAGCTGATATTAAAAATATTAACGATGATGTACTGATACTGATGAAGATACTAGTATTACATATGATACTGATGAAGATATCGATAAAACGCTCATTTTCGTGAGCAGAATTCAGCAATTCTTTCCCAGAAAGATGCTGCGATGAACTTATGATTCGATAATTTTGTTATGATAGATTTGGCATTTTGATATGATAAATTGAGAAACTTAGATCAAAAACCTTCATGCGTGTATCGACCAGGAATTCTTCTACGTTTACGAGGATTCTGGGAATTCACAGGATTACGGAATGAGCTCGACATTCCATTTTTTCCAGTTTCATTCATCTCGCTCTCAGTACCATTCCATTCAGTCACTTCGCTCACAGTTGATTGAATAGAATCTGGTTCAATGGTTCCAACATTTACTAGGGATTCTCTTAGTCCCGTTGTCTTGTTAGAGCTTCCTGAGCTACTGCCCATGAGCGGACTTTCAACGGGAATCAGCGTTACTCTCTTGGCAGCCTTCGTGGTACTTCGTCGAGCAGATTTCCGGCTGGCCTGACTATCGATGGCTGTCTTCTTGGTTCTGGTTGAAATAACTGTTCGCTTTGGTGTTATGGGAGGAGCAAATTCAAGAATCACTGGTACCGTCGAGATTTTCCGAGGATTTTCAACCACCATCGATTCTGATGAGTTCTGCTGAAATCTAGCAATTTCTTCAAGTGAACATAAAATGCTTCTATGCAGGAACAGGAATTATGCTCTGCACGTAACTTAGAAATCCGGATTCAGTTCTCGACTAGACAAACTATCAATCATTTATAACATTATTATAAACTATCACTGAACTTGTTAATCACATGTTGCTCCTGACAGACCGATTCAGCGGTTCTGGATCATGGCGCTTAAAAGTCTGTATGCCTTTTCCAAAAGGCATACAGACTTTCTTCACTGGAGAAATTGCATTAAACTTTCACGTTAAACTGACGGTATTCAATCTTATCATATGCTTTCATAACTATGATAAAGCTAAACGAATAAAAATATCCAATCGAATGTGCACTACAATATTGCAGCAAAACTGACCACAGAAGCATTGCAAAGCACATTACATGAACTACATCTGGAGCATGGCGTATCGACAGCATTTCCTGAAATAGATCAAATTTCATCGATATCACTCAGTTAGATTGTTTGCAACAGTCCGATGCTGAAAAGTTTCGCATTATTCAGTTTGTGAAAACTGTCCGGTTATCACCGGCCATTTTCTCATTCGCTGGCAATATGATGACAATGTGGTGACTAACATGGTGACAATATTTAGATGAATGGTCGTGTGATCATTCAGCTGAATATTGTGACCATACTGTCAGGACCTGAGCGTACTGATGCCTGGAACATGAGCAGCCCAAAAAAAACATAATATACCATAAAATGGCACTCAACACTGAAATTTCTCACCTTCACCTCGTGCATCGGCAACCGAGCACTTTATACCGAGTCCACCGAGAAGCATCAAGGTGGGCACAACCCAACCTCGGCCGATAACTTAGTAACAATACAAACCTTTGTTGTTGTTACCACTATTATAAGGTCATCGAATTTATATAAGATTTGAATATTCAAGCATTTGTTACATCATTCATTCCAGTTTTGTGCAAATTCAGTGAATGTATGATGAATTGAATTCAGCAAAATAGCTGGATTCAGTTTTCAGCCCAAAAGATTCACGATCAGTTGGAATCATGGATCACAATCAAGAACTTTAATTCCAAAACGAAATTTGAAGTTATCTCTCGGAAAGGTCTCACCATCAAAGACCATGTGTAATGTGACACTCGAATTGTCAACACGATCAGACGACCGATATTAACCAACTAAATTTTGTGCCATTCAACTCTCAAATTGGCTGCAGATGATCGCGTATCGAAACATTCATTCACTTCATCCAGATTCACATTCTTATAAAATGCGATGGAATACTGCTGTGTGCTTTTGAAATCTCACTTATAGCACACACTCTCATTGGACGGCGATTAGTGATTTCATTCATCGTTACTGGAAGAATCGAAACGATGTGCATTATGAGGATGAATGGACAAAATGCGATTGACAGTCGAGAAGCGTTGCTTTTGACAAGTTTTTGTGGTTGTTTTCATCTTCGATGTTCGAGTGACGATTCCTTTCACGACGCACTATTTAAAGCTATTAGAAGCCGTAGAATAGTTAGTTCGTTGTGTGACGTTATGGATGTGCTTTGCGGGTTGTGAGGCGTTAAACTCTAGCAGCATGGAACTTCCTGATGTCGACATGAGCCCAAAGTCTACGACCAGAGATAATTCGACATAGAGGTCATTCTCGTCAAGGGATGCGTCCATCATCACTTAACCAGTCGTTATTTCATACCCCTCACCAAATTCAAGCTTACTGGCTCACTGCTTATTCATAATCGTTGGTGTACTGCGTTATTGGCAATCATTTCAGGAGGAGGTTGATCAAAGCGAGGAAGCTGCATGGCCTCGCAAGATCATGTCCTTAGCATTGGAGGATGGTAAGAATACCGAGAAACTAATACACTCGGTTCAAGAAAGTACAACAGATGCTCAAGGTGCAATCAATTGAGCAGCAAATCGGAAATCATGAAGTACCCAAAAGTTATAACAACTAACGGCATTGTAACGAGGCACGACAGCTTTGATTGCAACCTACTTACGATTGCGCTATTTAAAGCACGACTTCTCTATTTGGAAAGCAAAGCTGAAGTTCGGAAGGGGCTATGCAGTCTTCGCCAACCTTGGGCTCGTGTGAGTTCATAAACGTTTGCAAGCTTCTTTCCGATTTTTTTGTATATGCTGAAGTTTTCAGGGTCAAAAACTAGCCCTTAGTGACGTAGATGAGCCGGATGTGAAGGAATTCCCATATTGAAAATATGCGAGTGTTTTTGAAAGGGTTATATTGTGTGGTGCGGTTGGATGTGTTGAAGAAGAGCATTAACAGCAAGCGTTCGATTTACTTGCACGTACACATCAACAATAATCAAATTTAGCTTCATAGTATTAGTTAGATTATGACAAGATAAGATGAAATGATGCTATACAGAATGGCGTGAGATATATATTACAAAAATAATATATTTTCAATATATTCATCATATATATTTGTACCGACTATCAGAGCAATAAGGAGGAGGGGGGGGGGAGGCTTTGACTGATAGAGGGTGGACTGAATCTCTAAAGGTGGAACTGTCCCCCCTAGTTGGTGGTAATAGAGACAAGAAAAAAATCAATTTCTTGGTACTATTAGATTAAGCACAATCTAAGCATTCAGAA